ACCGTTCTGCTCTATTACCTTCTTCCATCTTTCAAGATTACCTTTTTCCATCTTTCCAAGATTGTTGAGGCTTATTTGCAAAATATTGATCAATGTGCGCTTTTATTTCGCTTACGAACTTAAACCGTTTTTCACGGAGAGAATTTTTTCACGAGAAGAACAAGTAATAATCGGATAGAGCAATGTCTGGGGGGGGGGAGGGGGGTTAGAACGACCCAATCAAATTGCAATAATTTTTGTCTTACGACCAACGCAACATGCGGTTTTGCGTTGTCGCGACGAAAAACGACGCCGCGTCGATTCGCCAATTCTGGCCGTTTTTCTGCTATGGCGGCTTTCAATTCGTCGAGTTGATTACAATATTTAGCTGAATCGATCTTTCATCTTGAGGAAGGAGCTCGTAGTAGACTACATCTTTCCAGTCTCACCAAATGCACGAAAGAACTTTCTTCGGATGATGTCCTGGCTTTGCAACAATTGAGGGACTATTTCCTTTTGACCAAGTTCGTTTTCGATGCACATTTTGGTATAAAGTCCAAGTCTCGTCTCCAGTGACAAGCCTCTTTAGGAAAGGATTTCTTCCATGTCATTGGAGAAGCAAATCGTACGTAGAGACGTGGTTCGTAAGGCTGATGTCAACACCTATTGACGGTGTGGAACTTGGAATCGATTCACATATCTCATCTTGATTAAATGCTCATGTACCGTTGTCCTGGGTATGTTAGTGGCATCCGCGATCTCGTACACACTATATCGCGGATTTTCAGCGAGCATATTATTGATAAGGCCCGCATCCGTCGTTGTTGGACGGCCGCTGCGGTCTTCATCTTTCAAATCAAAATTTCCAGCTATAAATCTCTTAAACCAATTGCGGACTGTCCTAATAGTCGTAGAACCATCACCGTAAATGGTACAAATCTCGTTTGCAGTGTCCTTTGCCCTATCACTTTTTTATTAAAGCAATGAAGCATAACATGCCGCAAATGCTTCTGTTGGCTATCCATATTGAACGGCGCAGAAAAAGTTTTATAAGGAACCTTGTCACCCACGAAACGTACTCTAAAAGAGCTCTGGGACGACTGAAACCGATATCCTAAACAGCCAAGAGATAAGCCTGCGTGTTTATATAAACACAGCCAGTTAAAATCATTCATAGCGCGGCGTGGAAAGAACTTATGAGACACCCTAATATTTCCCGATAAAACTGAAGGGCCCGGACGAAAATGCGATGCTGGTGTCCTTGAGCCAGCTGAGGCTACTGATGCAGACCGCGACGACCTCGATGACGGCGGTACCGAAGCCGCTGAAGTACCTGAGGAATAGTTACCGTGCTCTGAAGAACTCGCAACGCATGGTTCAGCAGAAAGAGGTGAAGCGGCAGTTCGCGGAGGTCCTGAGCGTTTTGTCGCTGGCAGGAGCAGCTCCGGGGTCCAAGGAGTGTCTCCGATACTGCGTCGAAGGCAACGTGACGAATCCTGGGGAGTGGGGCCACGAGTACGTGAGGCAGTTGGAGTGCGAAATCGTCGACGAGATAACGAACGCTCCGGTGAGAGAGGAGCAACAGATAAGGTAACCTGTGCGACCCAAAATCTCAACCAGATATTGACCTCTGTCGAACGATAGGACGCAACTGGCGGCATTGATCAAGCGCATCGTGAAATTCGACATGAAGCACAACGCGGAGATACCCGGCTGCGATCTGTGTCTGGAGATCGATCAGCTTAACTTTCTGGCCGACTATTTGGACAACAGGAACTTCGGCAGAGTCTGTCGATATTTGGAAGGCTGCGCGGCCTACAGGTGAGCGAACCGCGGCTCCCGATGCATTTGACAGCGTCTTCAAAGACCGTTACGTTGGAATTGGTAGCGAGGACACGGAGAGAAAGCAGATACTGAGAGTGGTCGTCGATCAGTATCTGAGATTCCAGGAGTACTGCAAGGCCATGCTGGTGGCTCTGCAGTTGTTCGACACCGAGTTGATTTACAAATGCCTGGCTACGTGTCCCGACAGCGTCACGCGGAAACAATTAGCATTTATGCTCGCCAGACAACGGGTAACGGACTATCTCTCTTTAACTCTTAGCGCTCCGCGCGTTTCTCGAGTATTGCCTAGCAGCAAATCCGGCACATTTTTGGAGCAAAGCGCCTGAGATAAAGGAAGTCTTAGTTTGAGCGGAAAAGATTACACGTCCTTGTGAATGCATTTTATATTTTATTTATTTTATAAATATACATTTTCCTATTGTAAATAAAAGATAAATTTTAAATTTTGTAATTCACCATGGTGTGATATCTTTGGTAACAATTTCCCATCTGCATTCTGGATTTACTTGTCAAGTATTTACTTGTCACAGTATTCACTTTGTCAAATAGAGTTACTAGATATTTCTTTCAAGTTTAGAACATTTTCTGCGTAATTGTTGGTTTCCTTTATAATTTCATTTACCAATTCGTCCGTGAAAAATAATTGAAAATATTGTATCGGCTATCCAATGTTTGTAGGAACTTGTGGTCCAATGACCTGTGGCAATACACTAAAAAGGTATTCTATCTGGAATATGTAATTCTTCCGTAACATCACGCCATTCGTCTAAGTCTTGTAACGAATCTTCGCTTTCGCTTTCAATAATTCTCATTCTTCGCCTCTTTGGTAGTATAATTTCGCTACTACTAAAAGTGTCAGAATCTTAACCAACATTGTCTTCCACAATGTCTTTTAACTCTTC